CGCCATGCCGAGGATCGACTGCTCTGATACCAGTTGTTGTGTTTCGATATTTTTTGTTATTTTCTTTTTGTAAATTTTCTGTAACAATTTCTAATAAGAATGGAGGAAGAAGATGAATTGGGTAGAGAGAGAGAGAGTTGAGAGAAGAGAGAGAAAGTGGAAGATAAAATTGTTGTAACTAATTGATTCCCTCATACATTTTTCCAGCCACTTATAAACAAGTGGTCCCACAATATTTTGTTTCCTATTTTTTCACCAACAAGTAAAATATGACTTAATAAAATGAACAATTGAAGAGTGCTAATTTCGCAAATGCATCACGCGCCCACATGCATTTCTGTTGAGGTTGCCACGTGTCCGTGCTCCTTCATTTCACAGGTCAAAGTCTCCCTTTTGTCTTCATTTTCGAACTCCCTTTTTCCCCAAATCCATTTGCTTCAAGAACCCTAATTTCCTTTAACACATTCTCCCCTTCAATTTCACTCTGGTCCACAACACATGCCACCCTCATTCCAATGACTCAACAACTAATATGGAGGATCAATGAGAATGGTTTCTGCACCCTCAAGTTTCCAAGCAGATTAACTGAATTTAGCACGCGTTGTATATTGTTTTGTTTTATACATTCTTTTGTTTAGATCTTTTTTCAAGAAGTTTTATGTCCATTAACACATATTCAAGTAAGTTACAGCTGTATATGCACATTAAAAATAGTAGTAAATTAATTGATCTGACTGGACAATGATTTCCTGATTTGAAGATAACAAAAACGCACCGTTTAGCAGTCATGATCATATTTGCGATGCCTTGGCCAATAAGACCACATCCAAAACCTACTGAGCCATATAGAATACCCTGCATTCAGAAGAGTATATGAGTTTCACAAGTTAATTTTAATAATATCATAACTGTCTTAGATGAGCTTCAAGGATTTAAACATGAAAATAGGCAAGAGACGAATAAGGAAAGCCCATCTGTTGTTTTACTTTCCGGTCAATACTTGAAAATAAAGATCACTATGAACGCCAGTTACATTAAGATACCTTGTAAAAGTATGTTGCTATCCGCTGTTGAGTTGAAAATCTAATTCCTGGCCTCGCAGCTTCAAAGACACTGGGAAGATTTAGCAAAATCATCAAATTAACTTTTCAGATTTAGAGGGACCAAAGTATATCAGGATCCTACTCATGCGATCCATAACATGTACCAAAACACAAGTATCATAACAAAAATTTGTTTTAAAGCTACTAATGTTATCTGAAGAAAATGTAGTCCACTATAAAACTTCAACTCCATATAGTACGAAGTCGAGTGCAAAACGCCTTTATAAAGTTGGGATAAATCGCCTAAGATCATTGAATTATCCTTTAGTTCTCAGACATCTGTAAGATTTATCCAGCTGCAATCAGAATCATAAGTTGAAAAGACATGGTTCTAAGGCTATATACACAAACAAGCACAATCTTCAGGAACACAATACACATCATTCACCTGCTCGGAAGTGCTCCACAAGCATGTTGTAAACGTCCAAAAAATCCACTGGATACGGATTGTTTGCCTATACGAGCATAAGGGGCCAACATACCAACCAAAGCGATGTCAACAACAATACCCACTAACAAATCAGCAGCATACAATTCGAACTCGGCCCAGAAATCCTTTCCCCTCTTCTTAACTTCCGCGAATGTTGCGCAACATGAATCAATTACTATCTGTGACAAATTCAAATACAGTCATATCTTCACACAAAATCAATTACAGAAAAAGAAAGAAGAGAGAGAGAGAAAGAGAGTGTAGCCACATCTGACGGGTTAACAATGAACAGTTGTAGTCAAGTCACCAGCAATTTCGACAATTTTTTATAATGTACCAAGAGTTGATTAACAAAGAACCACATTCATATGCTGCTAGGAACTTTGTGACTCTGTATGTTTTTACCTCAGTCCCGACTTTAAATAGGAAAGAAGGATCGACCAGCATCCTGTCCCGAAGCATTGAGCAATATCTCATCAAAAATCCTAAAGGCCAAGCCGCACCCTGCAATGTCAGTGCAAAAACAATAATAATAAGAACCATTATCTAGCAGCAGCAACAGAAGAATATAACCAAAAAAATCAAAAATATTCAATCCGGACAACAAGAAAAGCATTTTCACCTGAAAATCCAAGTAGCGGATAAGAATCAATCTGCGAAGCCCCGTGGTTTTGGCCGCCTCAAGCATGTCAGCCGGCAAAACCGCGCCTCGTCTTTCCGCCTCAATCAAAACCTCGTCGTACTTCATAATTGGGCCGAACTCCTCCTCATCGCCATCACCTCCATCTCCCTCCCCACCTCCGCCGCCGCCTCCATGAGAGAACCGCCCATTCCCGCCATCCCAGTTGCCGCCATTATCATCAGTTTTGGGTTCCTCGAGATTTCCCGATAAATCAATAGTTCCCATCACCGGCTCCGGCTCCGGCCCCGGACCGGCGCAAGGTAATCGGAACTGTGTTCGACAGCCGGTCCCAATGGACGGTTGATTCTGAGGCGTGAACTTAATGTTCAATTTGAAAACGGCGTTTCTGCAAGGAGGCTGGTTCGGCGAGTTTAGAAGCTTCGCGGCGGCAAAGGCGCCGCCAGGGGACCGGACGGACGACATCGTTTCAATCTAAAAATTCGCACAAAACGGGAAATGCAAGAGAAAAGATCCTGGCCGCTGGCGGCGGGCGAGTGTTGGTGTGTCTATTGGCGGAGAGTGCGAGTAGCAGTGAGGTTGCGAAGCTGCTTGCAGTGACTGCTTGTACTTTCCCATTAATAAATGAGGAAATATTTATTTTCAACCGATCAGGTAATAAGAGCATGCTTGTTTATGAAATAACTACTCCCTCTTTTTTTAAATAAATGTGGTTTTGACTTTTTTTATTCATCCATTTTGCTATGTATCTAGACATATTAATGTCTAGATACATAGCAAAATGGATGAATCAAAAAAGTCAAAACGACATTTATTTAAAAAAGGAGGTAGTAGTAAAGATTCCGTGCGATGCACAGGGTGCACAAAATTAAGGTCATTTATCAAGTCTTATAATTATATAAATGAATAAAGAAAAATATATGGGATATATATAATACGTGACCTGTAATAGGCCAAAATGTGAACACGGGTGATGCACGGGGTACACAATTTTAAGGTCATTTATTAGTAAAGAGTCTGTGTGATTCACGGGGTGCACAATTTTTTAGTATGTTTAATACAAATACACACTGTATGCACGGAACAGAAGCAATAAATGAGTTATTTCCATAGAGCTTTCCCGTTAAGTAGCTCCTAAATACCGGTGCACAATTTGTAGTAAGTACTATAAAATCAGAACAAATTTTCATACAATTAGATAATAAATTAGATAAGCCTTTTTTATTTAGTAAAGATTTTACGTACTTTTTTTTACTTATCGGATGTTATGAGATTTTTTGTTAAACCGATTTGATGGGATATAATACAAATACAATTAGAGGATTGAACAAAATCAGAACAGATTTCTATACAATTAGATAATAAAAAGGAATTAGATAAAGAAAAGAATAAATTAGATAAAGAATTTTGAATCTACCTTTTTTTAGTATAGATAGACTTTACGTACAAATTTTGATTTCACCGATTTTATGAGATTTGTTTTGACAAAATCAAAGACGAACACTGAAAAATGTTTCTATTAACATTTACAATGTGTATTTAATGTTTTTATTTTGTCAAATTATTCTTTTTAAGTGTGATATATAAATATTAAAAATACTTAAAATATTTTATAACATCTATAAAAAGCATCTAAAATATTTTATATTATTCACAAATAATGTTTAAGTTACCTAAATTTTTCTAAACTACCCGTAAGGAAAATATGTCTAAAAATTCTTCATTTGACCTCCATATATGTATATATATAGAGAGAGAGAGAAAATGTGTAAAAAAAATTATACAAATAATATTTAAAAGTATCTAAAATATGAGTAATTAGACAAGTGAAATTTAGATTTTTAAAAAATCTATATAGATAATGGATTTAAAGTAGTAATTAGACTTTTATTTATTTACCTTTAAAGTTGTTATGATAGATGAGGGATGTAATTTTTTTGACTCGTGGAGATGGAATTTTATAAGATGGGTTATGAAATTTTTCTTAAACTCGTCCATATCTATGCGATGAGTTTTTTAAGCTGGTTATATAGATTTAAAATTGTAAAAAAAAAAAAAAAACTTTCATAAATCATTTGATTTGGTATTTTCGGCGCGCTTCATTAATTTAAAAGTGTAAAATAAATAAATAAATAAATAAAGTACAATTAAGAAAGTTACGGCCAGTTGTATGGAGAATTAAACTAAATCCAATTTTGTAGGATGCATTAAAAATTGATTAGATTTTATATGTAAAATAAAATAAAAAAATAACTGAAATAGTTTTACGTGTTGCAATATTTCATATTTAAAAAAAAATAAAAAAAATCTTCTTTTACGTATTACATACCAACATTTTATGAACTACATGGATATTCCTAAATTAATATAGCATACCCAATATTTTAGGAACTAATTCAATGCTAATTTGATTTGCATACCAAAAATATTAGATGCATTAATTAAATGCTTGATAAAAATAGCAAATCATTAATTATTGTTGACTATTTAACCTACTTAAATTAGTAAATATGTTTGCTTATAATATAAGTATAGATTTGATAGTGTTTTTTGGTAGTGTAATTTTAATAATGTATTAATATAATATTTAAAATAAAAATAATTATTATTGATTTGATGTGATAGTAGGAGATAAATGATTAAAAATGATAGGTAGTTAAAATTATGTAAGTTGATGAATAATTAATTAAAATTGACGTCATATGTAATAATAATTGATTTATAATATTTAATTATATAAATAATATTAATGATAGTGGAGTTGAGTTAAAATTGATTTACATTTTGAATAAAAATAAATGTGAGCAAATTATTTCATAAACAAGCATGCCCTAAGTTTTTCACGGTGTCAAATATTAAGTCAACTTAGAGAAATAATTATTTTCACTCCAAAGACGGAATAAGTTTTTGAGGTCGACAAATAATAAGTAATTTTTTTCACCCATACTGCTAAACCAAATTATACAATAAGTTATACCAGAGGCAAACGAAAAGTGTGAAATAATTATGCGGTAAACTATGAAGACCGAAGATAATTGATAAAGTGCGAAATTGTTATGCAATAAACTATGCGACAAATAGACGAACATAATTGATAAAGTGCTAAACAATTATGCGACAAACATGCGAATATAACTGATGCAAATAAGTTTTGCGACAGTCAGACAAAGATAACTGATGCAAAAAAGGTATGCGACAATGAGACGAAGATAAATGATAAAGTGCGAAAATATTATGCGATACTATACTACAGATAAGCGATAATGATTAGTAAAGCGCAAAATATTTATGTGGAAACTCTGTGACAGACAAACAAAGATAATTGATAAAGTGTGAAATAGTGATGCAATAAACTATGTGACAAACAGACGAAGATAATTGATCCGAAAAGTTATGCGACAGACAGTCGCATATAATTGATAAAGTGCTCAATAGGTATACGATAAACAATGCGGCAGACAAAAGAAGATAATCGAGAAATTCGATAATATTATGTGATAAACTATGACAAACGGGTAAAGATAATTGATAAAGTGTGAAAAATAATATGCGATAAACTATGCGACAGACAAACGAAGATAATTTATAAAGTGAAAAATATTAAACGATATGATATGTGACACACAAGAGAAGTTCATTGAGTAAAGTGCGAAACAAATTGGGCGATAAACATGCAACAGAGAGCGAAGTTAATTTAGCAAATGCGAATTATGTGATCAACTATGCGAAAATCGATAGACAAGCAAAGTACATTGGGCAAGTACGAAACAAATTAAGTGATACAGTATACAACAGATAGACGAAGTTAACTTGAGCAAGTGTGAGTTACTTATGCGATCAATTATGTGACAGACATGTGAAGATAATCGACCACGTGGGAGATCTCATTATGCAATAAATTATGCGATAAACAAACGGAGATAAGCGAGCTAGTGCGATGTCATTAGGCGATAAACTACGCGACAGACGGGCGAAATTAATTGATAAAGTGTGAAATAATTATGCGATAAATTACGCGACAGACATGCATAGATAATTGAGCTAGTGTGATGTCATTATGCTATAACTACACGACATATATGAGAAGTTAATTGATAAAGTACAAAATATTAACTATGCATAAACTATGTGACAGACATATGAAGATAATCACGCAGGGCGATCTCATTTGCAATATACTACTACATACAACGAGGCAAATTTAATCAAGCAAGTTTGAAACTATGCGACAGAAAGGCAAATAAAATTGAGCAATTGTGATCTCATTATACGATAAAATACGTGAACTACAAGTGAAGTAAATCGAGGAAGTACGTAAAATTATGCGATAAAATATGCGACGTATATGTAATCCAAGCCATTTGTTCGAGAGCTTGTGGGTGTCCGGGCTACAGCGAGCCGAGTTTTCCTGGGGCCGTTTATGACCATATTCGAGCCTCAATCCGTTCTTCCTCTTTTCGTGTGGAATCGAGGAGCGTGGTAATCTCAATTTTCTCTTTTATTTTCTTTCGTTTGGATCCATTTGTGTGCTATGTGAAAATCGGATCTTGTTAGGTGAATGTTTTGAATCTCGTTGTTTTAAGATTAGAATGGTGTGATTAATTTGTGCTAATTGGTGAAATTATTGGACCTCTTCAAGTTCTGTGTAATTTGGGAAATTTGTATGTGCTTGTGGGAATTGTAAATTTTTTTGATCTTGGTCAATTGAGAAAAAATTGTGGAGTTGGGATCTTGAGAATACTTGTTGAATTGCTTATTATGTGTTTGGTGTGTTGAGCTTGATAACATGACTAAATGTTGTTAATGAATGCTTTTCAAGAGCTTTTATTTCAGTTTAGGTAGCATGCTAAAGGCTTGTTAGAATTTGCAGAGAATTGAGGTGTTTGTGGCATGATCTTTGGCCTAAGTTTATAACCTTGTTGTTGAATTTGTTGAGGCATGTTGATGCGATTATCATGCTAAAAATGCTGAGTTTCTGAGGTTTAAGTTCAAAAGGCCCTTAAATTTTATGATTTTGAGCATGAGAGAATAGAAAGTGAAATGGAGCCATGTTGATGTTGATTTCTTTTGTCGTATGTTATGTTGTTGTTGGGCTTTAGTTACATTATAAGAATGCTAAATATATGTGTTTTATCAAGGTCATGTTCAGTTTGTATGGCTTTGAAATTTCTGTTAAGAGTTGAGAAAAAGAAAGGAAATAATGAAAAATATGCATGCATGCATGTATGTTGTGTGTTGTGGTTTTGGCCAAGCATGTGTGCTTATTTGCTGAGCTTATGTAATGAATAAATATGCTGAACTTAAGTGATGTTTCAAAGTTCTAATTTCAGTTTTAAAGCCTTATATGAATTTCTCTATTTTGAGAAAAGGGAAGTAGAAAAGAAGAATGAAGAAAGAGACATGTTATGTGGTGTTTGAACATTGCTTTTGCCTTACTTGTTGATGTACTTTTTATGAGAATTTAT